AAAAGACAAAATGTTATGCTATTCGGCTTTCTGCTACTGTGACAAACAACTGAGAAAAGTGACTTAAAAGGAAGAAAAACTTATTTTGGCACAGAGTTTCAGAGATGTCAGTCCATGGTCAGTACTTAGCGCTGGGGAAGGCATAGTCATCATGATGAGGCGCAGTGCATCGTGGCAGAAATGTGTGTTGCAGGAAGACTTCACTTCATGGCCACCAGGAAGTAAAAGGAACAGAGAAGAAGGGGCAGAGGTCCAAGCATTTCCTTCATGACCACACCCCAATAACTAACTTGGTTGAGAGTTGAAAACTTTTGTCACAATACTTTGGTAGAAGAAATGAGCAAGAGATTATGGGGCATTTTATTTTTAGTATAGCAGGCTTCGCAAGTAGCTACCAGTTAGGGTTACAAGGGCATAATGAGTCCATGGGAGCTAGTGCCAAATATCTATTACTCTGGGGACTGATTTTTATCATGGGCTTATGGGTTTTTTCCAGCAAGAGTGGATCGCGTTAGGGAAAGAGCTCAGGTTGACTATCATGACTCAGTGGTGGCAAACCTGGGAGGCATTTCTCCAGTGGCTTGAAAGGACAGTGTCAAGAACATCCTAGCTCAGGTTTTTTATCATGTATAGCTTCTAATGTCTATGAATGATGGATATGAAGTCTTCAAGCTCGAAGGCCCCTTCTGTAATGAAAGTATCCTATTCAGATGAAAGAGAAAGTTTGGAGGAGAGAGAGAGAGAGAGAGAGAGAGAGAGAGAGAGAGAGAGAACAAGAAGCCTATTTATGGCAGAGATTTTAAATTTCTCTCTCTTGAACATTGTTATGTGGACACATGGGGAGAGCTGGGTTTCCAATAAATTTGAAGGGGAACCCCCAGGATGGAGAGGTATTAGAAATCACGCTATTTCACAGCACATTATTACAAAATTTCTTGCCAGATAAAATGATTTAAGCCCAAAGAATTTGAGAAACAACATCTCCAGGAAGACGTCTCTGAGTTTTGTTGCCCTTGTCTCTTGATTTATATCATGACTCCTTCATGCTTCACTGCTGAAATCTACAAGACATTTAGAGAAAAACTTTGGCCACTATTGTTTAAATACTTCAATGAAACGGAAAGGGAAGCAACACTCCCAAATTAATTCCTGGAAGCAGGCATCACCTTGATCCCCAAAGCAGAGAGAAACCCAACCAAAAAAAGCAAACTATAGATCAGTTTCACTAATGAACATAGATGCAAAAATCCTTTATAAGATACTGGCAAATAGAATGCAGAAGATTATGAAAAGATCATACACTCTGACTAAGTGGGATTCATCCCAGGATGCAGGGATGATTCAACATATGCAAATCAATGAATGTTATCCACTATATTGATAGAGCCAAGGACAAAAACCATACAACCATCTCAAAAGAGGCAGACAAAGAATTTAACAAAATCCAACATGCATTCATGATAAAAAGCCATTTAAAAAATTGGAATAGGGCTAGTGATTTAGCTCGGTGGTTCCACTGCCTGGCTCTCAAGCACAAGGCCATGACTTTGATTCCCAATACCAAAAAACAAACCAAAACAAAAAAATTGGAATAGATTGTCTCTACCTAAATCTGATAAAAGCCATCTATGAAAAACAAACAGCCAATATCATACTAAATGTTCAAAAACTAAAATCTTTCACACTAAATGAGGAACAAGACAAGGAGGTTCACTATTACCACTCCTGTTCAAAATAGTGTTTGAAACATTAGCCACAGCAATTAGACGAGAGAAAGAAATAAAAGGAAAAACACCACCAAAAGTCTCATAGACTTAATAAGCAAATTCAGTAGAGTAGCTGGATACAAGGTCAACACACAAAAGTCAATAGCTTTCCTTTACATGAACAGCAGACACACTGAAGAAGAAAGTGGAGAACTCCTTTTACAGTAGCATCTAAAAAAAAATGAAATACCTAGGAGAAAACCTAGGAAAATAAGTCAAATACCTCTACTCTATAAACTAAAGCTCTCTGAAAAAAGAGATTCAAGAGGATCTCAGAAAATTGAAAGACATTTTGCTCCTGGGTGGGAAAAACCAAAAGAATGAAAATGGCCATACTTCCAAAACTGCTATATAGATTCAATGCAATCCCAGTTGAAATTCGACCAGCATACTTAACAGACCTTGAGAAAACAATCCAAAATTCCATTTGAGACAAGAAGAGACCTAGAATAGCAAAAGCAATTCTAGGCTATGAATACAAAGTAGGGGATATCACCATCCCCAACTTGAAACTATACCCCAAAGCTATTGTGATAAAAACAGCATGGTACAGGCAAAGAAACAGACCTGAGGACCAGTGGAAAAGATTAAGAGATGCAGAAAGAACTCCAGAGAAACTCAGCCACTTTATGTTTGACAAAGGAGCCAAATACCCTTACTGGAGGAAATATAGCCTCTTTAATAAATGGTACTGTAAAACTTGAGTTTCAACTTGCCAAAGATTAAAACTGGACCTATATCTCTCATCATTCTCTAAATTTAAATCAAAATGGATTAAAGAACTAAATATTAAAACAGGAACACTAAACTGGCTGGAAGAGAGGTTACGTAGAACTGTTGAAGATACTGGTATAGGAAAAAATTTCATAAACAAATCCTCAGTTGCAGGTGAACTAGCACAAGTGAGATCTCTTCTTATTAAAAAACTTCTGCACAGCAAGAGAAACCACCAACAGTGTAAAGAGACAACTCACAATGTGGGAAAAAATTTTCACCAGCTGTTCCTCAGACAAAGGTCTACTATCTAGAATATATAAAGAATTTTCAAAAATCCTAACTCCCAAATTTAAAGAGCCAATACAAAAATGAGCATCTGAAATGAACAGATATTTTAGACAAAGAAGTAGAAATAACAAATAAACACATAAAAAATGTTCAACATTACTGGTCATACAAGAGATACAAATGAAAACAACGCTGAGATTCCACCTCACCACAGAAGAATGGCTGCTATCATTAAATCAACCAATAACAAATGCTGGCAGGGCTGTGGGGGAAAAGGAACCCTTATCCACTGTTGGTGGGAGTGCAGACTGGTACAACCACTGTGGATACCTCAAGGAAATAGGACTAGAGGTCCCATTTGATCCAGCTATTCCCCTGCTGGATTTCTTCCCAAAAGAATTAAAATAATCATATCACAGTGATATATGTGCACCCATATTCATAGTGGCACAGTTTGTAATAGCTAAAACATGGAACAGCCCAATTGCCCATCAAAGGAAAACTGGATAAAGAAAATTTTTTAAATATAAAATGGAGTACTGCTCAGCCATAAAGAATGAGAAATTAGAAGCATTCATATCTAAATAGATGCACATTGACACCATACTCTTAAGTGAAATAAATAGTATACATGCGTGTAAATACCAAATCATTTCTGTGGTATGAGAAACTGAAAGTGTAATGAGGATCAAAATGTATAATAGACAATGGGAAATAAAAAAAAGTACAAAGGGAAGGGGATGTGGGAGGGGTAAGGGAAAAGAAAGAAGGGAATGGAATTAATATGAGAAAAATGAAAAAATGGAAACAAAGTCTTTATAAGTAGGGAGGGGTGGTAGGGTTGAAAGGAGGGCAGGGGAATAGGGAAAAATAAGAATCAAGATGTATTATGTATAGGTACAAATTTCCAATGATGAATGTCATTATATTTTATAACTAAAATGTACCAATAAAATTAATTTAAAAATTGTACAGAATGCATACCTACCTACAAACACAAACACAAACGCATATATTACCTAGTGACATGCCTATTGGTCTATAAACATAGTTGTCGTTTGCTTTAAGAAAATATAATTTATATAGGCAAACAAATTTCAGAGTAATATCTTCTCTTCTCTTATACAAATAAACACATAAAAAATGTTCCACATCACTGGTCATTCAAGAGATGCAAATGAGCCGGGCCTGGTGGTGCATGCCTGTAATCCAAGCACTCGGGAGGCTGAGGCAGGGAGATCACTGTGAGTTCGAGACCAGCCTGGGCTAAATAGTGAGTTCCAGGCCAGTCTAAACTACATAGTGAGACACTGTCTCAAAAAATCCCCCCCACAAAAGATGCAAATCAACAACAATGCTGAGATTCCACCTCACCACAGAAACATGGCTGCTATCATGAAATCAACCACTATATAATCAACAATCATACCATGGCTACATAATTTTCTGGTATGCTCTATTACTTTCTTACTGACGTATAAGGTTTTTAATATATATTTACATATCCTGCAACTTGTTAGAGGGTTTTTGTGATTATATCTCAAAGAGGTTGCTATAGGTTTCTAACTAATTCCCAATCTGCTTTTGATAAATTATGGAATCTTGTTATTTTGTGATGTAGATACGGGACACAGTCACTCTCAGGTTTCTGTGTTATATTTGGCATTGAAGTTGTAGAATCAAAGAGCTTGAGGTGGTTTCAGATATTATACATAGTAAGAATTGAAATACTAACAATGAGAAAAGAACACCGAAAGATCCCTAATACAGCATCACCAAAGATTTCTCTTGTAACTCTTTTGATAATTTTGTCTGTATTTTGTGGGCTGTTGTTTCTATAGTAGTAGAAAGATTGAAAAGTGTTATTCAACAAATGGCTGCACTTATATAATATTATTATATAATATTTAGCAAAGTTCACTCATTTGATTTGCTGTGAAACTAATGCATTCTTCGGTTATGGTGGCAAGAGTTATAAAGCTGATAAGATTTCTGTAAGCCAAAGTGTATACATCACTCATTTCTTCTAGGATGATAAAAGCTATTGTATCTATCACTGTTTCCTTCTCTCCTCCCCCCAACCCTCCCATCACTTGATTTTTATGTTTAAGTTAATCTTTATAATTACTTAAATACTTTTCTTGAGGGACAGAATAAGCAATTCACTAGAGCCCAAAGGTGTAACGAAAAATAATTCAAAATGAACAAGAGTCATGTAAGGTTGTTTTAATTAGGCTTTATATGCATATTACAGTAAAATATCTCATTTGACAAGCAGTCATGACATTTGAGGAAACCCTTCAAGACCCTCCACAGACACCATGATTACTGGGAGCAGAGCCACTCAGGGTCATTAATACAAATGTTAAGTACTTCAAGCAGTCACTGAGGGCAAAGGCCTGAATGACTGTTGGGCCTCTCCTACAGAATGATGATTTCTGACAATATCTACAAAGAAATGTATGTCACTACTGCAAAGCTAGAGATCTAGCATTCAAATCCATCATTTATATCCAAAAGTAAATGATTCTTTCACAATAAGCTCCATGTCTGCTTTTTAATGTATATTATTAATAGTCATATGATAACTGAAAAGTTCAATAATATAAATTTTATGTTAAATTCTAATACCATAGGGACTGGAAGAGATGACAGCTCATTGAAGAGTCCTCACTCCTGTGGATTATGAGTTCTTCTGAGAGATTTTCATTGTGACAGTTTTGATCTCAGTGTATTCATGGAAACCTTCTTCACCCCTACAGGGAAAGAAAATATTACCCATAAACATAGCCATGAAATTATGGAATAGCCCCTGACTTAATACAAATATGTTCTCCCTTATCTATCTAGGGACCATGGAAAATATTTTCCATTCACAATGAAGCTAGCCAAACACAAACTCGTTATACATAAATCTCCTGTGGGAAAAATTCTTTAAAATATCTTTCATTTAAAAAAATTACATGCCCTCATTTGATTTTGGTAAAAATTGTTCATTTTTTACTTTATTTTACTTAATTATAGAAGCTCCAGCTACTCAAAAGAAATTCAGCCCGAAAAGAATTTCATCATCCTTAGTTTCGATTCAGATAAGTAAAGACAGATGTAGGACAAGAGAAGTGGCAATAATGATCACTCAAGGGTAGTTCCGTACAATCATAAACTGAGTCAGAGCCTGCAGGTACCATGTGCTCTCGGCACAGAACTGGTGAGCTGGAAAATGACCACACTGCCATGTTCATTCTAAGGTGCCCTAATCTTTGCAGCTGTAGTTTTTGATTCTTGGCAAAACAAAAGCTTGAACATTATTTTTATTTATTTATTTTTTTGATGGTTTATATCTCTTCTTTTTAGAAAGGAAAGAAGGTAGCGAAGGACCTGATTTCAGTCTTTGGGGCTTTTTACAAATGTTGATATATGGCCTTTATACAGCCTCCTCTGTCCTGTGCCATTTGCTTCTATAACTCTTAAATCCACTTCAAATGATCCTTGATTAACGTGAGTCAATGTGCTTGCACTCTGGTCCCTGGTTTCAGATTTACACCTCCTACCAGTTTTAGAAACTATGATTTGACCTTTATTGAAGCGACAACTAGGTCTGTGCTCAACTATTTTCCTTTGTCTTGATGAGATCAAGTTTTAGGTAAGACTGTGCTTAAAACCATAACACCCACACACATGTAGGTTTACAGAGGAATATGATCTCGATATTTTTTCCCCTCCTTTCTTGTGATATAGACCAGTATGGAGAAGATATCTTTTTCTCCTGCAAAACCTAATTCTCTTTCTGATTGTTTTACTGGGCAATAAAGCTTTTGAAAACACGTCCTAAAATCTTTAATAAGCATATTGATTCATCAATGTAATTAAAGGGTTTGGATGTAGAGAGTATTCGATAAGTACTTTTACCTTCCAGAGTTAGATAAAGTAACTCATGATTTTTACCAGTAGGCTTTCCATTAGATTTTAGCTTACAAGAGCACTTGACACTTTCAGGAGAGTAATGAAATAGGTCCCCTTCCTCAGGATCCCTATACACATAGGTACTATATCCATGATAAACAAAAACATGTTTGCATCTGTCTTTGACTTATTAAATCTATGAGTTATGGCCTGTGCTTGTTAAATCCTCAATTTACAAATCATCCGGAACCTTATTCTAAAGCTGATTATGTTTCACTGTACTGGAATGAACTGCATTCCCACTACAGGCCCACATAACATTCATGCTTTCCACACAAGGCAAACATTGTAAGTAGAGAGGTCCCAGTGACAAGCTCTGTCTAGTTTTCCCTCTGTGCCTAGAAATTAGTTTTGTACAAATAAAGTAAATGCAGTAGAAATTTAAACTCTTGTGTAAGTACAGTTATTCATATTTACTTCCTCTTTTGAAAGAGAAAACTGGGAAAAATGTTTCACCAGCCAAGTCTCAGGTGATCGAAGTTAACATATGTGAAACTCAGTGCAGTTACCCAAAGGAGGGATTTCTACCATTTAAGCCACTCCAGTGCCCACACTGATCAGAGTTTCAAAAGTTACTCAGTGCTACCACTGAACACATTTAGGGGCTCACACAACTATTTGTGGCTTTTTGTGGACTATTTCCCACCGTAAATTATGATTTTCCACCTTTGAGAACAAATTACAGTTAAGTTTTTGGTGGTCATTTGAGGCTATTGCTTCAGTGATTGTTTTAAATCTCTTTTAGCAAATAACTTATTTATAAGTTCATCAATTTATTCAACCAACATTCACAGTAGCATTCTTAGCTGTAATTTTGAAGTAGAGAAATGTTATATTCAACAAAACTGGCATTTTGTCTACTTTAGTTATTTTATACCTCTGGATTATCTTATCAACATTCCCAGGGAAATGTGGTATCGAGAGCCAGGCCAGCAATGAATCACCAACCCTGGAAAGTAATCTGATCATTCTCACTGCTATTTATACAAAGCGATTAGTTTTGCCAAGGAATTCTTCAGTAATGAATATTGTAAAGAGAAGACACTAGAGGAGGAAAACAACCATTTTTAGAGTCCTCACTTTGTGTCAGGTATAAGGTAGTGATTGAATACTGAGTAGGTCATTTCATTGTCATCGTCCTAAGCGGGATACCAGCATCTCTTTTTTAAACACGAGGAGACAGAGGCTCAGACACTGAACGACTAGAACCAGGCCACGTGTCGGGCCAGTGATGCATCAGGACTCAGACGCAGGCCAGTCAGGCTCCCAGCAAGTTTGCTCTCTGTCTGCGCACTTCCCGTCCTTCAGCACTGTCTGTGAGCCCACAGCGTTCTGAGGATGGCCTTGCTTTTCACCAGGCCATTGGTGAGATCCAAGCCTATTTCCTTGGATTCAGGACATCTTCATCCGGATCGTATTTCACTTGAAAGTCCTACGTCCCTAATTTCATGAAGTATAAACTTCCAGTCTATTAATTAATTCATAACCGTGTTTGGATGTTTTGAAATATGTCTTTTCACAATCTCCTCCTGCCACCGCAGTTATACAGAAGATGGAAAACTGTGTCACGTGTCTAGGACTCCTAGAGCCTTATGACAGGAAGTAGGTAATGAATGTGTACTGAGAATGTGGGTAGTTTATTCTATCCTTCTTCCACTTCTCCACTTCCCCAAAAGTATTTATTTCATTGTGATTTTTCTCGTTAAGGTAAATTACAATGTTTACAGCTATATTAACACAGGCATGGCTTTTAGAAACTGGGACTCATTTTACTTGCTGTTAACAAAATGTAAAGCTTATTTTATTTGATTCCATAATTTGTATATATGCAACTTGTTTTATGAATTATGGAATATAAAATATTCTAATAAATAAAATTATTAAATATGCTTGAACAAAATTAACCAAAGTGCCATAGTTCTTGTATATACATATACATGTGCATATTAAATAATTCTACATGCCTTGCTTTCAAATAGATCTAAAACCTCCCAAATGCAGTTATGTAGAAATATTCTTAATCTAGTCACACCTATAAAACATGTTTTCCTTAAATTTAATTGTGAGTTTATATGTTAGTTCCAAAACTAACTCATTAAGGTAAATTTTAATTTTACAGTCTATATCAATAGTATTTCAATAAATGAGAGCCATGCATCTTAATAATGAAATTACTTTTGGATAAGGCATCTAATTTATTTCAAAGATGTATTCAAAGAAAGTACTCATATATGCACACTTCTTACAATCACCAATTTAGTTCCTATCTTTTTTCTATAACTGTCTCTTGAATAGATTTCATATATATGAAATATATATTATAATATTATATAATACATAATTATATAATATTATATAATCTTATATTATATTATATATATATACACACATATTACAAGCAATTCTAAAATATACAAAAATTCAGTCACCATGTCAAGTGCTTAAAATGGCCCCTTATGGGTAGTAGAAACCTAAAAAATTATATTCTCTTCCATCTATTGGCTTTCTGCACTTACAGATTGAACCAATATTTAATGAGCTTTTTAATGTATCTGCAAGAAAGAATAAAGGCAAGTTTTATCTGTTATAGTGAGCATGGATTAATTATCAGGGAATGAAAATAATTTTTATGAAAGTAAATACTTATCATAAGAGAAAGTTTTTCTTACAGTTCTCGTCCATTTCCAGACATTTTGTATCCACCAAAGGGGCATTGCATGCCTCCTCCGCCATAGCAATTTACCCTGGGGGGCAAAAAAAAAAAGAGATGAAGAATATATATCCTATGAAGTCAATTCTAAGTGGGCGATTTAGAAATCCAAAAAATCAAATTTTTAAAAAGCATTGCAAATTAGAATGCAGAGAGTATATAAACATATGTGTTTAAACACACAGTACCTACAAACAAATAAAATATGTGTGTGCACGGTCAGTTGGGTAGTTCATCATGACCCTGAGAAGTGGTGGTTTGCTATAAAGTATGGAATATCCAATGTGGAAGAGGAAAAGAGGAATATGCTTTGCAAGATACTGGAATTTGTTGTATGGGTGTTCTTTATTGCCTATATTTAATATGCTTTTTAATTCTCTTGAAGTTTATATTCTTATCACACTAAAATCAATTTTCTTTTACAATTGCATTGTGTACAAAATAACCAGTTCACTTCTTTTAATTCATTGGTTAAATAAATTGCTTACAAACAGGCTGTTCCAAAAATTAGATTTAATTATCAATTTAAGAACTCAATTCATTAAAGGTACCTATATCAAGAAATATCATTAGAAAACTGTGTGAAGACTTAAAGAAAAATATTTGTTAGAATTATGTTTGAGAGATTTGCTTTGATTTTGAAATATCATTCAGATGTTTTCTCGGTTAAAACACTATCCTAATTCCCAGGGTTCTCCTACTTGCACTGGGCCACAGGGTTCTTTTCTGTGCCTCATACTGAAGGGATAGTTCATTAATGAAATTTCTGCTCTTAAGAGAGTGTTTGTTCCTCTGCTTTAATTACTCTTTAAATTGAAAAATCAGATCTCTACTTTGAAATTATTGGTAAAATTCCAGCAACTTTGGAGTTCAGTAGTTGTTTTCTAAATTTTAAGCAGCTATTATGATGCCAGAATATTATCATGCTCTAGGATATAAAATATTAAGCATATGTATCCTTTGTTGTAATAGTACAGAAATTCCTGACAGGATACCAGGCCACTCAGTAGGATGCTGTCAGGACCAGCTTTTTTGTTTCAGATTTTTTTTTGTTTGTTTATTTGTTTGTTTTTATCAAGCACTCATGTAATCTGTAACTCCAAAATCAAAAACCCAAAGCTTGCCATTATTAAAGTGTGCAGAAAATAAGTTTTCTATTTTGACTCTAAGCTGAAAATAAAACTATTTTAGTACAAGTTAACAGAAAATGCAGAAATGGTCACTTAGAAAAATTCTACTCAGCCTCTCTAGCACGTTTCCTCAACTGTAAAGTAGAGATGACAACATTCAATAGGGCTGATCCTAGGCCTATGTAAGATTTGCTTGTTGAAGTATTTGGCAAACAGGTAAATCTTAGCAAGTGGAGCTAATATGCAATTGAGCAATGGTAATGTGAAGTTTTGTTAATAATTTTATAATAGGAAAATTCTACATTAATTAATTACTGGTCATACTAACCGTATGAAGGATTTACTTGATTTTGTTTGAGTCTCCAAAATAAAACATTCCAGGCTTTTGAGCAATGGCCCTTAGTGTTAGCTGAACATTAGCATCATACAACATTTTAAAAAATATTCTAAATAAAATATATATGCCCAGACTCAAACAGAGGAACAGGTTATAACTGACATATTTGCTTCATCCGCCCTTGTGCTAAATCTGTTTATTCATATTTAAAGTGAAATAGTGCATATTAGTTACTTTTTATCTGAAATATTTGAGAACAGAAGTGTTTCAGATTTTGGAGTTTTTTAGATTTTGGAATATTTTCATAGAACCAACAGGTAGAGTATGCCTACTTCAAAAATTAAAACTTCAAAATTCTCCAAAACCCGAAAGCTTTTGAGTCTTAGGTTGCTGCATTACAGAGCATTTTGGATTTTGAGGTGATGCATACTCAACCTGTATTAATACAGAGCCAGGGTTTGGATTTGTTTATACTTTAAAGTATGTTTGACTCTCAGTTGTGCTATTTAGTGTGTGATCTTGATAAAATTACTCAACCCCACTAAACTCAATCTTTTTATTGATAATTCGAAGGTAACAAATTGTTGTGAGGTAAAATAAGATGATGAATGTAAAATATACAGTGCATGCCAGGTTGAGTGGTCCATGCTTATGATACCAGCACTCAGGAGGCGGAGGAAGGAGGATCCCAGTTTGCAGTTTGAGACCAGCTTGGACTAGAAATTGAAACACTGTCTTAAATAAACAATACAGTGGACTCAGAGTAAATGTTACCACCATGATGATGCCTCTTGGGCCAGAAAAAAAAAAATTAGAGCTATTAATAGGGATATTTTTTGGTGTCTCTATTTCTTTTTGAACTGGAATATATGTGAGAAAGAAAAAATTTGATGCTATCACCAGGACTGAGGAAACAAAGGGAGGTTTTACAGAACAAAATGTACTGAAAACGGAGACCAGGGACCGAGGACTGGGCAGAGGAGGCAACAGTTTGAGAGGCATAGCCTTGGAATTTACATCTTCTACATTAAAGTGTAAAAGTGGAAGAAATAAAAAAGTTTAAAGATAAAGGAGACGTTCCTAAAAATCCAATACGTTCTTCTAAATTGTGATCTTTAGACATCTCTATTGATCCTAGAGTAAGAATCTGAAGTAAAAATTAAAGGTTTGCATGGGGACAAAATAAGCACTGTCTCAACTAATTTAAAACTACTTAAAAATGAACTTTTAATTTTTTTTTCTTTGTACACTGCATAGTGCTGGAAAATATGTAGTACTACTTGTATTGTGTAAGTCAAACACCCACACAGTACTTTGGCTAGAAATCTCAAAAGGCTAGAAAGAGTTAAAGAAATTATTCCCGTAAGATTTTTCCAATACAACTTTTAGGGGTTTTGTTTGTGTGGGAGGGTTTTTTGTTGTTGTTGTTGTTGTTTTTTTCTACTTCTCTAGCAGGCCATGCAACTTTAAATGAAAAGTTTGAGTTACCCTGTTGATATGGCTAACACTAAAAGGCACAGATTACTTCCAGTCATATGACTTACCACACTGTCCCCGCCTGCAGAGCAGAGGAGACCATCACTGCTTTGTCAAGGTCTTTGGTAAAGACTCCTGCTGCTAAACCATAGGTCGTATTGTTTGCTCTCTTGATCACTTCATCTAAAGATTTAAACTTCATGATTTGTTGCACTGGTCCAAATATCTATACCCCAAGAATGAGTGAAATAAAATAATAGGTTAGGATTAAATATTTTAAAGATAATAGTATAGGTTTGTTGGGTGTTTGTGTGTGTGTGTGTGTGTGTGTGTGTGTACACACTATTTTGCATTGGGTAAGATTTTGTTTCTTATCTTGGATCTGTGTGTATAAACCAAAATCAAGGCTGCAGAAACGGTAGATGAAAGCAGATAACATTCATGAGTTAAATTCTCATTGGATCAAAGTAGGGTACAGTAAATAAATAAAACTTTATTTTCTAGATGTTAGAAGTAAGCTTCTAAGAATTTATAATTGCACATCGAATGCAAAAATTATAATTCAGTAGAGGACTGAATTGAAGTGCGAATAAGTTTGCTACCCCTGCTTTTTTGTGGGCTCCTGCTGATAGGAGAATTGTTTTCCATCCTTTCACTTTCAGTCTATGGGCTTCTTTTTGCACTAGGTGTGTTTCTTGTATACAACATATGGTTGCATTTTGCTATATAACTTAAGCCTTCATCAGTAGCAGAAACAAAGGATAAAATTTGCCGAGAAAGGTGTTCAAGAGCTGATAATGTTAAGTGGGCAGGTAGTACACATGCATTCAGAGAAGACAGGGAAACGGGCAACAGACGGGGATGAAGCCTTTACCTCCTCTTTGGCGATGCGCATCTCATCTGTCACATTGGAGAAAACTGTGGGCTGGATGAAGTAGCCTTTCTTCCCCCAGGGGCCTCCGCCCAGTTCCAGTTTGGCCCCTTGTTTCTTCCCACTCTCAATGAGGTCAAGTATTTTATTGTGCTGCTCCTTGTCAATCTGTTTCAAAAATATCATATGAAAAGGAGTAAATACCAACTAGCAACTTACAAAGGGACATCATTGCTGGGTCTACTGATGAGGTCTAAATATTCTAGGACACTGCTATTGAATTTAATATTGACCCCAAACAGCTGACAGAAGTCCAGAATCACTTTGGGGGTGCATTTATTTCTAATACATTTTCTGGAGAGAAATTTCGATGATATTTATGCTCAGTATCTACAGTTCTGTAAGTAAAACATATTGACACTATGACAATATATGAACCCTTCACATAAATGTCATGTATTCACTCTGGATGAAAAGTTAGTTTAGGATATTACACACTTACTGGGATACTGTAGTCCTAACTGAAATAAAGGGAGAGAAAGCAGAAAAGAGAGTTTGACTTTGATTTAATTAGACATGGCAGCTGGGAAGCTGATGCTATTTCATTTTAAGAAGACTCCTACACTGCATGTGTTTGGATCTTCTGAGTCCTGATTGGTTCTCTCCGGCCTGGTCCATGCCCTTACAGACCACATTCTGACCATAGCCTGGGCTCCTCCCCAGCTCTGGTCTGTAGGTTGGATTTGATTTCTGGTCAGCCCAGGTGTCATTTCCCTGCTTTGTTAAATGGGTCACACGTAAGTGTATGAAAAGTATTACAGAATTGAATATTAAAAATAATAACACATCTAAAAGGACGAAAAGAATCCAGAGTTCTGATCGCGAATACAAGTGCACATACCTCTCCCCCATGCGTGGGAGGAGATGGCTGCTATCTCAGTTTGCATATTTACAGTTGAATGACTGAGTGACTCTTGGTCTCACATCTCTGGTAAAGATGGCCTATCACACGTGTGGTGGGGCTAAGGATTAAAAGCAAGAGATCCAGAACAACAATTTGACCTGTTTTATATTACGGTAAATACAAACTTTCTTCAAAAAGTTTTGAATTAACCAAGGATACACTTGGCTTTCATTATGAACTGCAGACACTGTTCAGTAATGCAGCATGCATCAGGGGCTCTTTACTATGAGATGGATCATAGGCTCACAGGCTGGTCTACGAAATGTAACAGGTCATGACATAGTTGAAATCATCTCAGAGTTTATAGTTTAGTTGGCTTGAATGTGTAAATTCTTAGATTCCTTAAGTTTGATGGATTGAAAAAAATAAATTGAAAAGAGAGATAGGCATATCCCCCAAATTATTTGGAAACTACACACAAAGGCAATGGGAGTAGATATATAAAGTCAATAACATACATATACATCATACACACAGATAGGCACACATACATATATACATAATTGTCACAAAAGTATAAATAGAGGCACATCATTTTCATTTACCTAATATATACTTGAAGCAAGCACTCTGGTAAATGCATTACAAACGATCTCATTTCAGTGCACAGTGATCCCTTCTTCCATTTGTAGATGAGGAAACAGGATGTGAGTAAACTTCTATAGATATATTTTTTTCTCCAACAGTGAAATACTTTAAGATTGTAAATCTTCAAAATTAGAAAAAAAAACAACATTCTTTTAAAAATTATTTACCTTATGGAACTATTTTGGCAATTAATTTCTGTATAATTATTTTGTTGTGATAATACATGAAGAAGATTCTATAACTCTGTTTGAAAAAAATCTCAGTTCCCTCAACCACCAGAGAATGAGGCACTAAGCTAAAGATTAATGAGTGAGAGCTTCTTTTCTACAAGAATTTTCTTAAAACAGATGAAAAAAGTTAAGGGTGCTAGTTCCAGGGGCTTCTCAGTTCTTTGTGTCTTAAAGTTCCAATATACTCATTTGTTGTACTTATTCAGTGCAACTTGTGATAATACCGTATACATGGACTGAGATTAAAGTTTTATATTCATCACTGGGTTACCTATTTTAGAACCTTATCATTAATCTCTTCTTAAAAATAATGAGGTATTCCTCTAATTTTTTGGATGATATTGGAATTGTGCAAACTTATTAGTGGAGGAAAGTATTGCCCAACCAATATTATATAAATATATTAATATTTAATATTAATTATGTTAGGTATTTTTCTCTTTTCTCTTTCTATCCGTCAATTAATAGAAACATTCTTTATTTTTATAGGTAAATAGGCAGACAGATAGATATTTAGAGAAAAAAACACAACAATAAAAATTAAATATTTTTTGGTATCCATTTGAGGATTCCAGGGTGGTAGTTCACTAGTTCCCTGCCTGCCTGGCAAGCACAAAGTCCTGAGTTTGATTCCTACTACCAGAAAAAAAAATAGGTGCAAATTCCCTATGATGAGTGTTATCATTATATATTCTTAAAATATACCAATAAATGTTGTGCTGTAAAAAACAAAAATAAACATAAAATTTGAAACTACTCATATGTGCTCATTAAAGTCACAAAGTAATATAAAATATATTTCAATTAAAGCAAATTATAGCTTTGCCAGTTATTTTAGGGTATCAAGCTGTCAATAGTTGACATTAAGTAAGTGCTAAGAGTTTGCTCCTTGAATACTTAGGAAGAACCAGAAAATCCAAGATGGTTTTCTAAGTTGCCTAGAAGGTAAACTATGAGATCAAAGATCCTGTCTTCCTTGTTCTTTTAGGCACTGCTTTGTATTTATCTCAGTGCTCCTCAGGGTTTAGTTGATAGCAGTGTTCACAAAATTTTGAATAATTGATTAGTTTTGCTTAGTCAACTGGCCAAGAATAGTTTGGCTTTAAATCAATAGCTTGGAACAGTATGTAATATTTAGAATGAAAGAATGAAGTCTCCAATCTTTTTTTTTTTTTTTTTTTTTTTTTGTACCGGGGATTGAACTCGGGTCCTTGCGCTTGCAAGGCAGGCCACCGGAAGCCTCCAATCTTACTGTGCAGTCTTTAGAGCAAAATCAATCAATAGTAGCCCTTTTGGCATCCTGGGCCAGTTAATTCTTTTTTGGTGGGGGGCTCTCTCATATATTGTAAGGTGTCTTTAGCAGCAATGCTGGTCTCTACTCAGTAAATGCAAGTAGAACCATGCCTTCCTACCAACTATGACAAGTTAAAATAGCTCTAGACATGGCCAAAAGTTCCCTAGGGAGGAGGACAAAATTTCCCCTAGTTGAGGATTACTACTCTAGAAAAGGGCACCAAAGGGACAGAGAAAACTCAGAATCAAGATTCAAGATCTTAAATAACAGGTGACAAACAAAGAACTTTACAAGACAGTCTGATACTCTTATTGACTATGCTTCTAAGTGAACAAGAAAACAAAAGAATGCAGGGGTATGATTGGGATGTCTGGAAATAAGAATCTTCAAGGACGCCTGCGTGACCATTAGAAGATAAGTGCAACTGAGAAATGTGAAGAGAATTAAAGGGTGTTCTTGCTGTCTGTGTCTGTGCAATGGCACCTGAGATGAAGGACTGATTTTGAGGGAGAAATGATAGACTGTATAGGAACTTCCAAGTGGGCAAAGAATTGTCCACAGTGATAAGATGTGGTCGAAGAAAGCAAGAAATTAATAGTTTGTCAATATTCTCCATTTTTAATACCCAGCATATCTCTTAAACTGTTTCTAGACATGAAAAATCAGCAACAAAAAACAAGAATGATTTCTTTCACCATTGATAATTAGATTTTTAAATCACCAACTTGGTATAGTACTGTGACATAGGAAGTTGCGAAAAATGAGAAGAAATTTTACTGAGTCAAAAAATGATACTTAATTCCTGTCCCCTGGAATGCTGTTCTTCCTGTTGTGTACTCACCTGAGGGCCATGATTTACACCTGGGGTCAGAGGGTTTCCAAGAACGTATTTCTTCGCCCGCTCAACACTCCTTTGAACAAACTCATCATAAATCGTTTCTTCCACAAAAAGCCTGGATGCAGCTACACAGCATTGGCCCTGGTGGAAGAATAGGCCTACATGGGCAGATTCTACAGCAGTGTCCACTGCAAAAGATCACATTAAAAAATAAATACTATGTAATGAGTGCAGAATTTATATATAGCTCTCAAGGCAATATGGTGGTATAAAAAAATGATGTCTGGTAGTCAAACATGGGCTCTGTAATTTCAATCTCTTAAAATCCAGATGATAAATTTATCTTTGTGATCCTTCATTTATTACAAAAATAATACCAATAAATAGTTGAATATGGAAATGGTGGTTATTATCATAACTTTAATATGGATGCAACTAAGAATATGGATTTTATCCCGATTAAATAGCATTACAATAATTTGTATAAATATTTCCACTTATAAATTGATCCCTGTGAATATTTCTTTAAGACATTAGGTTGTAAATAGATAAGAAAGAAAATCTAAAATCTACATTGCTTTAAAGTAATTTTGAACCATTCATAAATGTCCTGATCAAAAAAGTATTGATCCTTCTCAAAAACAACAACAGTAAAAAGCCTCAACAAAAGCCACTCATAGAATCACTTACCCTACCTCATACTCTTATTTTAGGAAAAATATTTTCAAAACCTATCTGAAACCACATTATTTCATATATGCCTATAATCACATATATTTAGGTGGCAGATTCTGCCTAGGTTATTTCATTAGTGTATCTTTAAGATGAATATAACTGTACTGTATGCCTAAAACGTATCAATAAACTCAATGAGAAAAAAGATCAAAAGTTTTTGCATTTTAATTTTCTAAATTCTAAAAATTCAATTCAACGTTGGAGCAATTGAATGTGAACTAAGCTTACAAGTTTGTTTTATAGGAAGCAGTTGACTGACAGGCCTGGAGTATTGGGAATATGGTCATGTTTTAGAATGTTTTACAACACAGTGCATTCTAAAAATTACAATTAAGATCATAAAAGCCAGTTCACGAACCATTTGTTCATACAATAATGCAAGAGTTTAAGAAAGAATTGGAAGAATTCCTCAACACCTACTCCTGCTAATTAACTCTATTTATGAGTAAACAGTAGATTCTATTTGGTAATATAATCAGAATGAACCTTGAACATTATATAGTAGAGTCACATCATAATTGCAGGACTTCAGTATGTAAATTGAACTATCCTTGATGGAGGGAGAGAAGAAACTTTTTAAGTTTAAATTTCTCTGACCGTCTCAATTAATGAGTATGACCCAGAGTAAAGGGAGGCAACAAAGGCAAAAGTGCTGTCTCCTTAGTTGCTTTGGGTCCAAGATATCTGAGGTATCTCATTACACTCAGCACAGCGCAAATAACTGAACATGTAAAATTATTTAAAAAATACATCCTGCCTAACTCCTAAATTCAAAACATTTGTATTATTCAATGCTCAGTGGAGGAAGCAGAAATCTATTCCAAACCTGGAAGCATGTCTGTGATTAACTGATCTATGTGTTCTAATTTGAAAAATCTTCAGGAGTAATTCTGGACTCAGATGAGTTCCCCACGTTACGAGGCAAACCTGTTTGTGGGATCGAAGTTCCCTGCACGGCGTTCTCAGACACCAGGCGGGATGAAGGTGCAGAGACAGCAAAGGCAGCTGTACTCACGGTCAGCATCAGCAAACACGATGCAAGGGCTCTTCCCCCCCAGCTCCAGGGTGACCCTCTTCAGATTGCTCTTCCCGGCAGCTTCTTTAATTATTTTGCCAACCTGAAATGGAGCGTTGCGAAGGAGGAGACTCACTATGTGTTCACGAAGACAGGTTTAACATTTTAAATTTGTATGATGTTTGTGGCATCATTAGACTTCATTTGGAAGAAACACCATGGCATTTTTCCACAATTAGCACCTGGAAATTTTAAAAGGTTCACCAAGCAAGTATGCAGACACACAGATAAATCAGAAAAATATTCAGGAGCAACCCAGCAGAGGTACAGAATATGCCAAGGGTCTTGATGTGTAAATAGGAGGTTACTTTTCATGTTCATCAGATCATCTTGTGATTGATCAGATGCATCACGACCCAGGCTGAAGTTACTTATTTGGGGTTTCATCCATCCCTCTTCTCACATTCATAGAACTCTGTCCAGCCGACTGCCATATTCTCCACATCTGAAGCCTCACCTTTTTCTATACCCATCCCCTGGATTACACCCAAGTCCTGCGCTTACTGGGATTCAGCTGAGATGTTTAACTCCTCCTAGAATCCTTTTTTGATGACTCTGGGTGGACATAAGCTTTTGTTTTGGGTTTGGTTGTTTTTTTTTTTTTTTTTTTGGTCTCTCAATGAACCATGTGAAGACTCTTTCAGAGTTGGAGTCAAACTGTAGCATTTGCATCAAGTTGCTAAGGAGATTGTCCACTCTGGTAGCCATGACAAAGTCCTATCACTGGATACCTGTCCTCAGCAGTGGTTATCATGGTGGTTTCATTTAACTATTCTGTATCTCTCCCTTCTCGTTCTGTGATGTTACTTCAATTAGCTGGGCTCCTACTGTTCTGGTTTCTTCTTGAATGCTACTTGTCTCTCCTCACAGAGAATTGTTTCCATTTGTTTTTCTTCTTTGTGGATCATGTCCCATCAAGATTATTCGCTATATTTGTTTTGTTTTTAAAAGTAGAAATCCTATTTATTTTTATTGACACCTTTATCCACTAAAAAGATCTTTGCCTTTCTCTTTTGTATGATAATTTTGTTTTGCTTCTTTTATTACTTGAATTTCTTTTCCTAATCTGTGTGAGATTTTAATAAAAAATTCCTGTAGCTACTAAACAAAAAGATTTATTGTATATTTATATCTCATGCAGTTGCTGAAGTAACTGGTGCCATACCTTACAGAACAGAATATTAGTGAATCTGCTGAAAAAGTTTCATGGGCCTCAATTTCCCACAAGTAGATTAATAAAGCTAAGCTAAGTGTAGACATGTATTAGAGAAACCTTGTCAGAAATGTCTGTTATAGTCTATTTTCTTTTCACAACATATTTCATGGGAACTTTTTTAAGAGTGAATTTTCATTTAAGATGATTAAGATTTTTTTTCTTTTTCCATTAAGCTCTGCAATTTCAGATTTAACAAGAATACTTAACATTTCCTATCATAAACGGCATAAATCATGTGACACATACCCTATGGCCCTATTTCTCATAAGAGAAGTTAATGAACACATTCAGAAGAGTTCAGTCCTTTGAGGATTGTGACCATATTTCATTTTATCTAAACTACAACTGCTTATGTTATATAAACAAATTTGAAGCTAGAATAAAGAACAAATTATTAAAATGATCTTCTGTTTTAAGGAAGTGTTGGCTTCAAAATAGTTACATAAACAGCCTTTGTCTAGTTAGAGACGTGGCCATCTTTAGCGGCCAGGCTGAATAAGTAGCATTACCTCTGTCGATCCTGTGAAGGCCACTTTGTCAATGTCCATGTGTGAGGAGATGGCTGCCCCTGCAGTGGGCCCATAGCCAGGGACGATATTCACCACTCCAGGAGGAAAACCTGCCTAACAGGATAAAAAGCAAAATAGTTACAACAGAACTTAGAATTTTGCAAGAAAGGAGAGTATAAAATAGTGATTCTTCTTTCAGGTAATCTTGTGAGTTGCTCTAACAAGAAAAATTCACCTCAGCAACTTAATTCTTTATTCCTTCTTATTATTATTTCATTTCTTATCCAACATAAAATAACCCAATGAGGGTAATATTGTGCTATGCTTTCTTCCCAGGGTAAGTATTTAGTTTATGGATCATTGCTCCAATGAGGGATGTCTCAAATTTCGTTATAGTAACTCAAGAAGATAGTATACTTAAACGTGTTTGGTAAAGTATTTACACAGAAGGAAAGTAATGTGTTTGTTATCTCCATCAGCAGAAATAAAAAGCTAGAGGACTTCACATTTTTAGTTCTCTGGGGTTGATGGCTTAAGTCTTAGGAGCTGGGGTGCAAGCCCTCAGTGACATTCTTTAATCAGTAAAATGTTAGGTCAGCAAGGTCATCCTGTTCAGGGTGAAGCTTCACAAACTGATATAACCCCCATTAAAGGATTCATGTAGGAGGTAAGGTTGCAACTGGGTTGAGCATGTTAAACTTTCATGCATTTGCATCAGATTGTTTCATTTTCACATTTCTTTGTCTCTTTTTAATTTGAAATGAAGAGTACTTTTTAAGGTATGGGAGTAAATTTCCTGAATTTTAAATTTCTAGTGACTAACAGTTGTTTAACTTTTGGTAAAATATGAAGGACGAGAGTAATGAGTGATATATATATATATATATATATATATATATATATAGGATGGTTGATGAAAATGCTTCATGTACTCTTTGCTACCTTTGCAAAAGAAAATGGAGAAAATTAAATAGAAAAGTACATATAAAAATATCCATTCATGGGAATATGCTTAGAAATATGGCACACATATATGTATTACATATAGTATTACATACAAATATATTGGCACAATGAACCTAGCCTTCAGAAATTAAAAATAAAATGTGTTTAAATTTAAACAAACTTATAGAAACCACTGGGCCATAGTAACCCAGCATAGTTACAAACTAGCATAGTATTCTAGCATTGAAAGGATGCATTTTTTCACCATGAATTTGTGTTCGTGGGTTGGACAAGAGCAAGAAGATAATGGTCACCAGGTGACTGACTCTAAGCCTCTGATCTGGCTTCTGGTCTGCATTTAAGGGAGACCTGTGTGCACTGTCTAATAAAAATCCAGCGAGCAGCCCTTCTCAGGGCATCCTGACCACTGGATGGAGGCTTTGAGGAGAATGCAGCTGACAGTTACAGGGAACAAGGAAGAAGATATTGCCAGAACCTCTACCCTTGGTCCTAGACTCCTACGAGCCACGACAGCACAAGGCGAATTAAAACATAGGCAGGAAACCATATTTGGAGCGAAGCTGAGTCTTGGGGTATGATCAGTGCTGCTGATTGCAGGAAAGACAAAGACTCCCATTATTTATGGAATACAATTGTGGGAAGGAAGAGGGAGTTCGGTACTCTTTGAAGGCATCTAATAAAATACTACCTAATACCTGGCATGGGCTGTTAGAAAGTGAACATAGCTTATCTTGCCGGATAGAGCACACAGGTACTGGGACTGGGTACAAAAAGCAAGCAACCGATCAGGTCAGTGAGAAGCTGTAATTCAGGGGAAAGGATTTTAATTGGAGTCATGCTGACCTCAGGTGCACATAACTCAGCAGAGTCGCTACTTCACAGACCAGGGCCTATGCTTCAGGGACAGTTAGAGCAAAGGAGAGCTACTAGCCCAACTATACTACAGGACATACCCATTTGAGTTACATATGGCTTTGGTCTGACTCCTGATATAAAACAATGTAGTCAAATTAAGATGGGCAAGAATCATGTGGCAGTCGTAGCTGGCCAGTTGCAGTCAAGAGTATCAGCTACAGAGAGTAGTGCTAAATGAGGGCTTACAATTACGGGTGGGGCTCTTGCATTCTTGTGTATGCTTTGACCAGAAAGCTCACCTCTATAATTAACGATGCCACGTGAAGAGCAGTGAGGGGAGTTTGCTCTGCTGGTTTGAGAATCACTGTGTTTCCACAGCTGAGAGCTGACCCTATCTTCCACACCAGGAGGATCAACGGGAAGTTCCACTGGAAAACAACATTCCACCATGGAGTCTTTGTTTTGCTCAAAGGCATCCTTACTAATATAACTTCAACATTATAAACATTCCCCTTCCCTGTAGTTGTTAAACACTTCAGTGTCTTTTTAGTCTGCCTTGTGAAGTATTTCAACTATGTTTAGACAGTATCTTCTTGGCTTAAAATTAAACCTTCAAAAATCTTACTTTAAAATGCCATCTTCTCATAGAGATTTGAAGTGTCAGAGGCTCTTCTTTAAAGGCACAATTTATTTATTCTATACAATGTTCAAATTTTTCTATTTCACTTAAATTTAAAAGAACAACTCTCACTGAAAATATTAACAGCATGCCTCACAGAGCTAGAGAAAATAATCCAAAAATTCATATGGAACCAAACCTGGGCAGCAAGAGTAAAGCAGAAGCCATCACAGTCCTGTGATGCTTCAAGTTATATTACAAAGCCACAGTGATTAAAAAAAAAAGCATGATATTAACATGCAAACAAAAATGTGTATCAGTGAAACAAAATAGATCATTCAGAGACAACCCAAGGCACATTAAAGTATCAATCGATTTTTGACAAAGGGGTCAAAAACACATGCTGGAGGAAAGACAGCTGCTTTAATAAATGATCTTGGGAAAACTGAATCTACACATGCAGAAGATTGAAGCTAGAACCATATCTCTCATCCTGTACTAAACTAAAATCAAAATAGATCACTAAATATTAAGACAAACACTTAAACTGTTGAAAAATAAAATGGGTAAAACTCTTGAAGGCATAATCACTGACAAGGACTTTCTGAACAGAAATACCAACTGCAGAAGAAATAGGATCAGGAATCAAAAAATAGGATTATAGCAAATTAAAAATTTCTTCACAGCAAAGGAAACAACCAACAGAGTGAAAAGACAACTTACAGAATGGGAAAAATATTTTGCAATTTACTTCTCAGAAGACTAATCTCGGAATATATAAATAACTAAAAAAATTAGAGCCCCCCCCAAATAAAACACCCACTGAAAATTGGGCCACTGAAATGTATAGACATTTCTCAGAAGTACAAATGACCGATAAATACATGAAAAAATATTTAACAACTCTGGCCATTAGAGAAAGGCAAAATGGTTAAAAGAACACTAAGATTCCAAATTACTCCAGAAGAATGGCTGTGGTAGAGAAATTAAATAGTAATAAATACTGGTGAGGCTGCAGGGAAAATTGGGTCCCTGTACATGGTTGGTGGGAAAGTAAATTAGAATAACCATTACTGAAATCAGGATGGAGATTCTTCAAACAACTAAAAATAGAAATTCTATTTGGCTCAACTACTCCCCTTCAAAGCATCCCCTGAAAGAGTTAAAGACATCATATTAAAGTGATAATGCACTCCCATGTTCATAACAGCTCAATTCAAAATATATAAATCATAGAAGTGGTCTATCTGTACATTAACAGATGAATGAATAAAGAAAAGGTGGTATTTATATATAATAGAATACTACTCTGTCATAAAGAAGAATATATTTGAGTCATTTGTGGGAAAATAGAGGCACTTTGAGACCACAGCGTTAAGTGTAATAAATCAGACATAAACGTTTAAACATCTCATGGCTTCTCTTATATGAGAAACCCAAAATAGAAATAAAGACCAAAATAAAAGGTAGATTTTAGGAAATAATTAAATCTTGCAAACAGTATAGAGACCAAGAGATGAAGGTCAGTTGGGAGGGAGAGGAGGAGCAGGGGATAGCAAGAATTATGGTGTGTTATGTATGTGCATCCACTTACCACAAGAAAGTAAGCACTGTGGTCTGAAAACATGTACTAATAAAAAAATTAAAATGTCTTTCGGGAGTTGAGCACTTTCATTGCTTCTGTGTCTGTGATGAGAAGTGTCAGAGGAGAAAGAGTGGTGGAGTAGCCCGCCAAGCACATTCCCTGGACGGGCTGTCCCCTTGGAAGGGCAGCAGAGGAGCCCAGTCCTCTCTGTCACATCTTACAAAGCGCTGCTCTTAACGAGAGTGCATAATGCATGCTTTTGAAAACAACTCTTAGAGGAAAAGGTTGAGAGTCTTTTTGGTGCAGGACTATTGAAACACACTCAAGAGATACGTCAGGGTATAACTAGATTTCAGTATTTCCTAAATGATATCCCAGAAATACAATCACAGGAAGACTAATTTCAATAAGTCCTGCTTGTTGAAATTCACATCACATTTAACCAGTAAGTAAGCATCCATTTGTGATTGAGAAGTCTTTGTCCCCAAATTAAAGAGTTAGGTTTTCTTTCTTAATCATACAGGAGAGCAACTCACAGCAATGATTTGGCCACATACACCAATAGGTTCACGTCTTGTATAAGTGAAGAAGTCTCCATCTGGAAAAGAAAGCACACACCCAGCCCTATAGAGAACTGAGGTACTTGACATTTGCAGGATAGAGGTGTGTAATGGGTGAAAGAAAACAAGATGAAATAGTAATTTAAAAATGAAAAAGAGAGCCAGGGATTTAGCTCAGTGGTTCTGCCATGTGCTTCACAAGTGCAAGGTCCCAAGTTGGATCCCCGGTACCAAGAAAAGAAGAAGAATGCATACCTAAAACAACTTACAAAACAGAAATCTGAGGACTCAAATAGGAACTTGGAATCAGAGTAGCCATAAAACCGAGTTAAATAAAAGCAAAAATGTAAAATTAGGAAGGAACTGAAAGACAATTAATCCTGCTCTTCATCATCAAAGAGAGATGTTTTCCATTATTATTTTTATTCTCATAGTTTTATAGGAAAAGTAAGCTAAAGGAGGTAGGATCATATCTAGCTAAAAGAAGAACCATGTTCAAATGTATTTTCAGCAGCTCAAAGTGTTACCACTAATTCAATACTTTTGGAATAGTAATATAATTTTTGAAATAATAAAATTGAAACTTTAATAAATTTGAAACTGTCTTTCTAGAAGGAATAACACTATCAGCCTGCTCTAAAATATTGTTTTCCTTTTCTTACTAAACAAAAAGCAAGTTTGTTATTCTATGTAAAAAATGGCCAATGTAAATAGCAATGATTTTCTGTTCAGAGTTGACTGATTAATGTGTTTCAGAGTTTGATGTGATCATCTATCAGGATGCTCTTTGTATTTCAGTTTCTACAGGAGCCCCCTGACTGTCTCAGCAAGGCTTGGCTTTCTGAAGATCCACCTATACTTTAAATGGCTTTTACCATGTAATCTGAAGGCAAAGATAGTCACTAAAATATCCACATTTCTTGGAATCTCTGTGGTCTCGTTCTCGTGTCTTAACTTCCTACCACTTGTAACCTACTGAGTGCTCCAATTAGGTTAGAAATGCACACCAGGGGCCAGGAATTTAGCTCAGTGTTTCCACTGCCTGCCTCATAAATGCAAGGTCCCGAGTTTGATTCCTATTACCAAAAAACAGGAAAAAAGATATGCACATCAAGGCCAATCTTGGAAGTGTGTTTTATTGCTACATTTCTATGAGTTAAATTTCATCTTTAGTATTTCACCTATTCATACTTTTTCATATCAAATTTTTCATATTTCTATTTCTATGCACATTTATCACAGAAATAACACATGAATGCACATTTATATACACAAATTCTTACCTCAGGCTACAAGCATAGCCTCAGATTGTTTTGAAGCTATTTGAAACAAGTCAGTATGAATTAGTTTGTTTAATTATTCTGGCCTAACTGTACTGAGTTTGAACAGGCACAGATAACCGTAGCTGGCTCATACTGGAGCATGCAAAGAGGAGTAAATAATTACATTATGGAAAAGTTGTAATGTGATTATAGAAATGAAATGTAAAATAATTGATATCAGAGGTAAGCTTTGCTAAGTATGGGCCCTGAGAAAGCTGGCTCCAATCAGTAATTGTAGTCATAGAATGTTCCTACTTTAACAGTTTCTAAAATATTCATGTCATTATTTTCGGCCTGATTTTGCTGAAACAACTTTAAAGACCATTTGTTGAATCTTCATAGAATTTCTGAGTTTAAAACTGTGTTGGCTTGGGGCCGGGGATTTAGCTCAGCGGTTTGGTGGCCTGCTTTGCAAGCTCAAGGACCTGAGTTCAATCCCGGGTACAAGAAAAAAAAAAAAAAAAAACTGTTGGTTTAAGATCAAGGAAAAATAATTTTGCTTTGTTTGGCTGGCTTCTTCAAGAGGGAGAATTTGAAACTGTTCAGCTCTACAGTAACTGCCACTTACCTGACTCACTCCAGAGGTCTCCCAATGCTCCTTACCTATAGGTATGGTGCGGCCCTGGATCTTGTCAGCCCAGCCTGCAAAGTAGCGTAATCCATTTATAGAGAGTTCCATTTCCATCAGATATGTACTAGAAAATACTTTCCCAGCATTTATCACCTCCATTGTCTGAAAAACAAATTGATCTCAAAATTTAATGTTCCACAAAAATTTTAGATTAAAATATCTACAGCCAAAGATTTTGTTTCCATTAACTTTCATTTTCTCATATTGATTCCATTCCCTTCTTTCCTCTCCACTACCCCTCATGCTTCCTCTTCCTTTTTGTCCCTTTTCTTCCTATTTCACATTATCTATTATACCTTTTAGTCCATAATTACATTTTCAGTTTTTCACACTACAGAAACTATTCGGTACTTTCACATGTGTGTCCTATTTATATCACTTAAAAGGTTCGCCTCAGTGTGCATCCATTGAGCTATAAATGTCTAATTTATCATTTTTATGGCTAAGTAGTATTCCATCTTATATTAAAAATTTTTCTTTATGCAGTCTCCAGCTGATGGACAATTGAGCTACTCCCAAGTTTTAGCTATTACAATTTAGCTATTAAGTTTTAGCACTGCTATGAACATGGGTGCACATATATCACTGTGGTATGATTCTTTTTTTTTTCTTTTTATTGAGTTTATTGGTACAATCTGGGTCTACAATACACTTACATTCATTACTGGGGTCCTGTACTGTCACATGACAGGTCTTTTTCCCCTGTCCCTGCCCTCCCTTCACCCCACCTCCCCTCCCCATTTACAAATGCTTTATTTCCATTTTTTCATTTTCTCATATTTTTTCTTTTCCCTTGTTCCCTTTCCCCTACCCTTCCCACTTTCCCTACACCTTTACCCCTTTTCTTCCTATTTCACACTATTGATTATCCCACTAGGATCTTGTGTGCTATTCTTTTAATTCTCTAGGGAAGACACCCAGCACTGGAATAGTTGGATCAAATGGAACTAGATAGAGAGGGAAGAAGGGGTTGAAGGGAAGGCAGGGGATGGAGGAAAATAAGAACCAAGATCGATTACGTAAAGATACAAATGTCCAACGATGAATGTCATATTTTATGTATTAATGAACCAATAAAATTATTAAAAGTCAATAAAAAAGAAGGAATCCAAAGGGTCCGCCCAGGAAGAGGAAGACTGCTGGAGTGATTTATCAGAGAAGGAAGAGAATTACTGGCAAAGGATCTGAACTGATGAGCTCATGTATGTCTCTATCTCTATGCTAAGAAAATAATAAATATTAGCAAGTAAATATATATATATCTCTCTCTATATATATAGAGAGAGATATATATATATTTCCAAGATGTTGAGTATGCACTAGAGAATTTTGAACACAGAAGAAATTTTAAATTATCTTGACTAATTTTCTTTCCAAACCAGAGAGACTCAAGAAGAGCTAAAATAACATGTACATACGGTCATACGCATGACCTAAGTAAAATGGGTCAGAGCTTCCAGCTGCTAAAACCGAGTGCTCTTTCTGTCCCATCCTGAGTGTTCTCTGCTAATCAACATTTGAGAAGTTGGTCACAATTTGATATATCCTGCTGGTGAGAGCAGTATGGAGTCTGCTTGATCAAATCAGGGTGGTAACAAAGAGTTCATGATGGGGACAATTTAGTGTTGGTGATTTTTAATGTTTCAATAATCATTGTTGGCACTCTGGGGGCCAAGGAAGGAGAATTACTGAAAGTTTGAGGCTCACGTGTACTACATAGTGAATTCGATAGCAACAACACCCTGTCACAAAAAAAATCACTTTTAATTTTGGATTCCATATGAATATAACCAATCTATTTTCGTAAGCAAAACATCTGGGTCTTTCATTTATGAATTTTCTTCTGCAGAATTTTCAATTATGGAACTGAGAAGAAATAAGATTTACTTTAGTGATATTTTGGGTACCTTCAACAAAGTCAGGTGAGAATTCCAGTAAGAGTTCAAGGTCAAGTAACTTGAGAAACTTAGTACAATATTCTAGAAGATTCAGAGCATGTTACCTTGTGGAGGGCTTGTGTGCTACTATGTTTAAAGCTTGTTAACATTCTAAAGTGTGAAATTTCTTCAATTTGGCTCAACTGAGGACTTGTCAAAACCTATACTGTTAGCAGGAAATAGTCTTTTCCTTTGTTCATAGAGTGCATGTAGCTCTCACTAAAACCAACCAAGTTGCCAATTCAAACAGCTAATGCCTTGGATCTATGCATCCGGGTTCCTTATACTCACTGCCAGCAGCAGTCGATCTCTTTCAATTAAGTCAGCCAGCTTGTACAGGAGGCGTCCCCTCTCTGAAGCATCCATAGTACGCCATGGAGAGCCGATCTGAAAGGCCTGTCTTGCGGCCTTCACTGCTTTGTCAACATCTGCCTGTAAGTCGGAGGGAATGCAAATCAATATGCTCAACACGTGGGCAGAGCAAATCCAATGGGAATAACCCCTTAAAACAGACTGTGGCTACTCATGAACAGATGCTGTGTCTCCATTAGCTCTAAGTTTAGCACATTCTACATATTCAACCCCAGTAGGTAGGACTGACACTTGCTGATATTCTTTAGATCGGTGAGCTCCTCACACCTGACACGGGCTTGATTTCCTAGATTACAAATGTTAACAACATTTCAGTAGTTTACTAATATCTGAGATTTTGGGTAATATTCTAACAACTTTACGTGTGTTAACTCAGTTGATTCTTAACAATCTCATGGGACCAATATGTTCTCCATTTACCAGAAGAAACACAGAAGAAGAGAGAAAATTTGCTCAAGGTCAGGAATTAAAAGTAGATGAACTGAGTTTGAATGGATCCCTTGCTCTTCACCATACTTTCTACTCTTGTAATTTGCCTCTTGGCCTGCACTCAAGTTGCCTTCTTTCATGATGTTCTCTGTTGTGTTTTTCTAAACCATTTATGCTCCAGTTCTTTCCTAATCATCCTTGGTTATTCCATTCCCTAATGGATTCTTGGGCAGACCTTTTCTCAAGTCCCACAAAATATACCTATAATAAATATAACCACTTTTATATGACTGCTTCATGTGTTTGTTTCCCTGCGAATCAACTGCAAATAAATTAAATTCCAACTTCCCACTTTTCATATTTTAGGCATAGGACTGACTTCTGTCAGTCTACTGACTACTGGAACTCCACACCACGGGCTAGTAGGCTCCAACTTTTTTCAGAAGATGTAATTCTCTTTGAAAATTAGGATGAGCAGGAGGAAATGACTCTCTCTTTTTATGTTCCACACAAGTAAGATGAATCTAATTTAACAATAAAGCTTCCTTCTTGAAGAATCCTGCACCGCAAAGTAATTTGTCCCCGCCTTAAGGTGCTTTGCACTAAGACTTTAACTTACAAATCTGAAAATTAAAGTGCAGAAAAATGAAAAAAGTTTTCAGTACAGATGGTCCTTGATTTTTGATAAGGTTGCATCCCCACAAACACATGATAAATTGCAAATACTGTAAGTCAAACATGTATTTCATATTCTTGATCTAATGAAAGTCATGGTTTAGCCTCACCTGCCTCAGATGTGCTCAGAATGCTTAAAGATTATTTTATAGTAAAACATTGGATGTCTCACTTAGTTTGTTAATGCCGTGTCGTATTGGCAGTGTACAAATAGACCGTGTAGCTGGCTGGGAGCTGTGGTTTGCTGTTGGCGCTCAGCACTGAAGGAGAATATTGTTCTGCTTAGTAGTGCTGGCCTGGTGGGGGAATCAAAATTTTAAATTCCAAGTATGGTTTCTACTGAATGTGTATTGCACTTGCATCTTACTAAAGTTAAAAATTGGAAGTTGACCTTTGTAAATTGTGGATCATCTGTATTTATAACCAAACTAAGGTTATTTGGAACAAGAGATTTTTTGGAGGTATAATCTGGTCTAAATAAGTAATGTAAACTACAAGCAAATATTCTTCACAGTAATTCATCACACGAGTGTATCTCACTATAAAAAACTATAAAACTTAGGAGAATGATGAATATATAATAAATATATATGGCTCTATTACTTGCCATACCTGACAAATGACTGTATATTTTGAGCATTGAATTAATCATATTGTTTATATTTGGACATTAAATTCTACCATTTTCCTATTAAATTCACTAAACACTGTTTAGGGAAAGAGACAGAGAAGCAAACCATAAGGACCTGAGTCGCCAGCATGATCTGTGAACACCACAGCTTATCAGCTACACGCAGCTCTGCGTTTAAACAGACCTGTGTGACGCAGCTTTCATTTCAGTCCTTCTGCTTGGTGTTCTGCCGCTGGTCTTAGCCAGACATGGGCTCTCAGAGGGGTCCTGGCCCCGCAAAGGGATACGGAGGAACTGGCTGCGAGACAAAGTACTCTGCACGTGAAAAACAGTTCCTTAGAGAATGCTGCTAAAAATAAAGAGAATACTGCTAAAAAATAATAAAATAAAAATTCTCGCCAGGGATCTAGCTCAGTGGTTCTGCCACCTGACTGGCAAGCGCAAGGACCTGAGTTCAACATCCGGTAGAAAAAAAAAAAAAAATCTTGTGCTTGTGTCTTGTGAATTTACATCTAATGGTAGTTAATTTGTAGGTCTGGGACAAGATAATGCAGATATATATTCAAATTCCTCCTTATTAGGTAACTTCTTTTTGCGGGGGGTTCCAGGGATCAAACTCAGGAGCTTGTGCCTGCGAGGCAGGTGGTGGAACCACTGAGCTAAATCCCCAGCTGTAGTTAGGTAATTTTTGAGGCATTCAGTGATCCCTATTGATCCATCCAGTCATCCATCCATTCATATAAAATTTTATACACAATCTGCCTATAGCATTTTTTATCAGCCTGCTAATAATAATCAGCAATTATGCTGTATTGTTTCAAGAATGGTGATAAGAAAATATATTTGTTCAGATTCAGTCTAGAAACCTCTTGGGTAGACTGAATTTCATAGTTCATGTCAGCAACATCACCAGGGCGAGTGGAATCTGCCCAGGAGGAATTGTGGACTCAGAGGGTCTACTCTCTTCTAACGTGAAATGCTTGATGATAGCTATTTGTTAAGAGCCTGCTAAATTCTGGGATATGGCACTGGGATGTGTTCTTTACAGCCCCAAGTTACCACAGTAAATTTCATGCACCTTGTTTCACAGGTGAGTAGACCCCATGAACATGAAACTCAGCAGAGTGGAACCCAAATATGATCTCAGATCTGACTCAAATCTAGTTCTTATAGCTCTGCCGAATTATTCTAATGATGTCTCCTTTGCAATGTCTCCTTTACTGCTCTCTGTATTATAATCTACATTTATTTTTTTTCTAGGCCTAAAATAGGCAGTTAATAAATGTTTCTAATTTGGTTAGCTATCTTTTGAACCTACTATGTTACCCTTATACAACTGTTACAAACATTATATCATAATTTTTTTTTTTTTTTGTACCAGGGATTGAACTCGGGTCCTTGTGCTTGCAAGGCAGGCCACCAAACTGCTGAGCTAAATCCCCAGCTATAAATGGTATTTTAACTGATTCCCTTATATAACAAATCTTTTATATTATTCACAGCTATTGGGTATAATACTTTGCTGTTTTTGTTGTTGATTGCTTGCTTGTTTCTTATTTCTTTTTTTTTTTTAATTTAAGATCCAGTATTTTTATTCCAGAACTGGCATTTTCTGAGATATATATATATTTTTTTTTTAATTAAACAGAAAACAATTTGGGGCATTAACTCAGATTTACTACCAGCAGTAACAGGATTGCCTATGACATTAAATTTTTTTTTTAAGTAAAGACCCACAACCTGAGTATGTTGACAGTTTGAAAGATGATAAGCTCTCAAATTCCTCCTAAGCACTGGTAAGGACAGACTGAACCCCTGGGCCACTCCCAGATCATACAGTTGCTTATTAAATTTATTCCCAGATGAAGAAAACAGGTATCAGATGAAGTTTTCTTTTATACTGGTCATAACCACTTTCCTTAATGGACATTTAGTTTTATACCCACCAATTATTTGTAAGTCATGTAGAAGCAGTATTCAGGATTAGTCACTGCAGCCTAAAAGAACCACTGGAGTGCAAACAATTCCCACCCACATCCGTGCCTTGTTCTGTAAACTTCCTTGGCTCTCAGCCTTCCTCCTTTCTTTTTGACACCACTGAGAGCCCATTGTTAGTTCCGTTCTACTCACATTAAATCCCTGTAGATTTGGGCTCATTATGTAAAGAGACAATTCCAGAATATTAGGTTTACTCTGACTTGGTAAATTATAAGATCCAGTACTTATATACTTTTAACACGGGGTTATAATCAGATACAGTGTTCTATAGCCACAGAGTAAAAATCAATTCCATCTGGCAAGATTTGAGGCTTGGAAGAAGTATAGAACCCAATAGTGACAGAGGCTTTATGTGCCTGGCACTTTTAAATATCTGATTATCAATACGATCCGTTTTTCTTTTTTTCCTGGTACCAAGGATTGAACTCAGGACCTTGCACTTGCCAGGCAGGTGCAGTGCCGCTGAGTTACAGCCACAGCCCAGCAATACAGTCTTCAGTAAAGTATTCAACTTTTTGTTCTGCTATTTTGTCATCATTTATAAATACAGCTAAAATAGTATCTTCTTAAGGTTTCTTAAGTATTACATTAATACAACACTTAGAAATAAGAATTGTCTCGAAATAATTTGACTAGAACACATCTATGCTTTTCACTAGTTATTCAACTTGTCATTTTAAAGTATTCATAAATACTAATTTAATGATTTTTAATAAAATAACTTGGCAATGTACTACATAAAATAGATTGTCTAAAAGTTATATATTAACTTTTAAAATTTCATCTAACAACCTAAAACAATGGTTTTATACAAATAACAGTTTTCTTTCCTCTTTCAAACGTGTGATTAATCCTGTGTTTCAGAATCTGTTTGTATACTAATCTACTACACATTATTTCACTGAAAAACAAGGAAACTATATGAAAATAAATAGCTACAATATCTCAGCCATCATCATTACCTGATGACCTTCATGAGCTAAGCCTGGACCAGGAGCCACGCGTTCAAGGCATTTACTGAATTTTCAGTGGGATTCGGAAGCTGAGAAGGGTGAGAAGCAGAGGAACCCGACATAAAACAGAGCTAGAATTCAATAACTCACCTTATCTCCTTCTTCTACCTCACAAATTATCTCTTCCGTTGCAGGATTAATAACAGGAAATTTCTTGCCACTCACTGAATCATGCCATTCATTGTTTATGAAGATCTGCAGGGATACAGATTAAGTATATTTAAAAGCATTTTAAAAATACCTGTTGGAAATTTTTACAGATTTAAGCTGAAGCATCACGTAATGCCTAAAAATTTTTCCCAACTAAAACATGTTTTTGTTGTAGCTGACATTTTACATACAAACACATACACACATATAAAGATGCATATTTGCACACTAAAATAAAGTGCTATTTTTTAAGTTTTGTGAAGGTACACAGTTTTTTCAATGCTTTAAAATACAGACTGTCAAAAATTTTTTAAAATGCTGTTTTCATAACAGCATCTCCTAATTTATTAGTCTTCAGAGGAGACCAGGTACAAGATTTCTTAATAATACCAAAGACATGCATGCAGAAAAATTAAATATTATTCTATGTGAACTATATCCAAACAGGAGGTTTAAAATCCATCAGTGTGTCATTTATAATATCTCAGCTTTAACTTTTGTATATCTGAATTTATATCTTACTAATTAACAAATTTGATGCTCATTTACCTTTTACTAAATAAAAGTAACTGACAAAACCAAATTAAAGAGCACTCTTTTATGATGAATAAGGCTATATTCCATTTCTGACAAATGCTAGAATATTTTCTTTCTTTTTATCCTTTTATTACTAATTTATTCATTTTCTAATTATTTTTTTATGAAGCAATCCTAAGTAACTATTGGGTAATATTTAATACAGCTTTTTGACAACATAAACCAGTTAATTTAATTTTGAATCACAGATATTTGATAAGTATTCTTCTAAAACAATGTTGCCTTATACATGGGGTTTTTAAATATATCTTAATTCAGATATCCATCCTTACTTGACATTTAAAGATAGGTATACATAGTTCAGTCCTGAATGTATCAAAACTCTGTTCTCCAAGGTTTACCTTAGTTGCTATGCTAATAGCAAGTCACTGAAAATTAAAAATTTCCCAGTGATGTCTATCAAAATTATATATTCTGCACATGAGTACACTATATTTGCGATTTGCTACAAAATCGGCTGGAGGACAAACCTTTGGCTGTTCACACCAATTCAGTTATTTATACAGCAAAACACCATCCTATAGTTGTTGAAGAATTCCAAAGAATGGTAGTGCCAGATAGAATTGATAGGAAAGTATGTACTTGTAAATAAATACTGGATTTAGTCCAAAACAGTTCTGATGAAGAGATTAGAAGTAGAAAGACAGACTTATTAGAGTATAAGGAATAGTATTATGCAAACCCTTGATTCACTGACAGTGTAACTGAGTACAGATGAAGTGCACAAAACTTGATATATTATCCTTCGAGAAGAATATGTTTTCATCTTATTTCAACTTGAAGGAAGATAAATTTCAAGACCTGACTGGGGCAGCACATATTAGAGTGAAACAGTGCACAAGCTTTCAGAAACACTTTGTAGAATCCCATAATTACTCTTAAAATGTATTTTGTTAATTATACATTAAGTTCATTGGTGCATTTTGTGAGTACAGTACAATGACACTCACCATTGGAAATTTCTGCCTGTACGTGATATATCTTGGTTTTGTTTTTTCCCCATTCCCCTGCTTGCCCTTCAACCTCTCTGCCCCTCCCTATTGACAAAGACTTTGTTTCCATTTTTTCCTTTTCTCCTATTTTGCTTTTCTCTGCTTTCTTTTCCTGTACCATCACTCCCCCTTCCTCTTTAGACCTTTTCTTCCTATTTCACATTAGCTAGTACACATTTTGGTCCTCATTTACACTTTCAGTTTCTCACACCAGAGACACTATTTGGCATTTACACATGTGTAACCTATTTATTTCACTTAAGAGTATGGTTGCAATGCATATCCATTTAGCTATAAATATTTCTAGTTTCTCATGTTTTATGGCTGAGTAGTAATCCACTTTATTAAAAAAAAACACATCTTCTTTATCCAGTCATCAGTTAATGGGCATTAGGACTGTTTCCAAGATTTAACTATTACAGATTGTCCTGCTATAAAATGGGTGAACGTAGATCACTGTGGTATGATTCTTTTAATATTTTTGGGAAGATACCCAGCATATGTGTTATGGTTTGTGTTCAGTGCAATCCCAGTTGAAATTCCAACAGTGTACTTCGCAGAGCTTGAGAAAACAATCCAAAAATTCATTTGCAACCTGAAGCGACCTAGAATAGCAAAAGCAATTCTAGGCAACAAAGACAAGATAGGGGTATCCCAATCCCCAACTTGAAACTATTCTACAAAGCTGATATGATAATAATAGCATAGTACTGGCAAGGAAACAGACCCAGGATCAACGGACCAGATTAGATTATGGAGAAACAACTCCTGACATGCTCAGCCGTGTCATCTTTGACAAAGGAGCCAAACGCCCTCGGTAGAGGAAAGGTAGACTCTTTAATAAGTGCTGCAAAAATTGTGTTTCAACTTGCCGAGGATTAAAACTATACTTGTATCTCTCACCATGCACTAAACTAAAATTGAAGTAGATCAGAGATCTCAATATTAAAACAGAAACACTAAACCTTTTGGAAGAGAGGTTAGGTAGAACTCTTGAAGACATGAATCCTTATAGCAGTTTTGAAAGTATGGTCACTTTCATTATGTTGCTTCTTCCCACCAGGAGCAAAGGATGTCTTCCCATTGTCTGATATCCCCCTAAATCTCATTTTTCAGAGTGCTATAGTTTGCAGAGTAGAGGTCTTTGATTTCTTTTCTTAGACTCATTCGTAGGTATTTCATTTTTTTGGATGCTACCGTGGAATGAGTTGCTTCTCCATGTCCTCTCTCAGTGATTCTGTTGTTCATGTACAAGAAGGCTACTGATTTTTGTGTTGACCTTGTATCCAGCTACTATACTGAAGTTGTTATTAAGTCTGGGAGATTTTTGAAGGAGTTCTTAGAGTTTTCTGTACAGAGTATCATGCCATCTGCAAAAAAATGACAATTTAGCTTCTTCCTTTCCTATCTTTGCTCTGTTGATTTCTTTCTCTTGTCTAATTGTGTGGCTAATATTTCCAAAACTATATTGAACAGGAGTGGTGATAGTGGATCCTTGTCTTGTTCCTGATTTTAGCAAGAAGGGTTACATTGTTTTACCATTTTGGCTTTTGGCTTTTCATAAATGGCTTTTATCAGGTTGAGATAAAGACCATCTGTTTCAATTTTCTGTAGGTTTTTTATGATGAATGGGTGTTGGATTTTGTTGAATGCTTTGTCTGCATCTATTGAGATGACCATATGGTTTTTTGTCCTTGGCTCTATCAATGTAGAATATCACATTTATAGATTTGCATATGTTGAACCATCCCTGTATCCCTGGGATGAATTCTATTTGGTCAGGGTGTATGATTTTCTTAATGATCTCCTGCATTGTGTTTGCCAGCATCTTATTGAGGATTTTTTGCATTTATGTTCTTTAGGGAGATTAGTCTTTATTTCAATTTCTTGGTTGGGTCTTTTTCTGATTTGGGGATCAAGGTGATGCTTGCTTCCTTGAATGAATTCTGGAGTATTCCCTCCCTTTCTATTTCACCGAAAATTCTAAATAGTAGTGGCAATAATTTTCCTCTAAATGTCTTGTAGAATTCAGCAGTGAACCCATCAGGACCAGGGCTTTTTTTCTGTTGGCAAGTTTTTAATTACATTTTCAATTTAATTGATTGAAATTGGGTTGTCTAGAATTTTTAGGTTTTCTTCATTCAACTTAGATAATTAATGTGCATCTACAAATCTGTTTGTTTCTTCTGTGTTTTTCATCTTATTGGCATATAGGTTCTCAAAGTAGGTATTGATGATCCTCTGGATTTTTGCTGAGTCTGTTGAAATTTCACCCTTTTCATTCCTAATTGCATGGATTTGGCTCTTTTCTTTTTTTTTTAATAAGGTGGGCTAAGAGTTTGTCTATTCTGTTTTTTCTTTTGAAGAACAAAATCTTTGCATTATTAGGTTTTTTTGTATCATTCTTAGTCTTCATTGCATTGATTTCTGCTCTGCTCTTTATAATTTCCTCCCTTGTATGATGGGTTTGTCCTGGTCTTCTTTTTCTATAAGCTTGAGGTTCACCATTAGGTTGTTTATTCGATCTTGTTTTGTTTTCCTACTATGGGTACTCATTGCTGTGAATTTCCTTCATAAGACTGCTTTCATTGTGTCCCATAGATTCCGGTATGTTGTACTGGCATTGTCATTTAATTATAGAGACTGTTTAATTTCCTCTTTAATTTCATCTGTGAGCCATTGGTTGATCAGTATGGTGTTGTTTAATTTCCACTTGTTTACAAAGTGTGTATTCTGATTCTGTTGGGTGAAATATCCTGTAAACATTTAAGTCCATTTGTTCAGGAATTTGTTTGAGTTCTAGTATTTTGTTTTCCTATTTCATTTGTCTATTTGTGACAGTGCAGTATTGAGGTTCCCCCATTACTATTATATTAGCACTTATTTGATTTTTATGTCCATTAATATTTATTTTCTATAGTTGAGTGCACTAATATTTGGTTCACATATATTTATTTATTTATTTTTATGTTTTGTGGGGTGTTTTGTTTTGTTTTGTTTTGTTTTTGGTACCAGTTATCAAACTCAGGACCTGGGTTAAAGGTTGTTTCCTTTAGGGCTTGAAATACTTCACTCCAGGATCTTCCTGACTTGAGGGTTTGTATTGAAAAGTCTGCTGTGATTCTGACGGATGTTTCTCTGTATTTTATTTCTTTTCTCTAACTTCTTTTAATATTTTCTTATTCTGTTGGGTTTCTTGAATCTTTACTATTGTATGCCAAGATGTAGTTTTTGTTTTTGTTTTTGTTTTTTTTTATTCACAGCTAGTTGGAGCCCTAGTTGGAGCCTCACTTCTCACTTATCTGTAAGTCAAATTCTTTTCCCCTGCTTGGGAAGTTTTCTGCCATTATTTGTGTAAACAATTTTTTATGTTGATTGCATTATCTCCTGTTTCTTCATAACGTGCACTCCAACCAGTCTTATGTTATTCTTTGTGTCACCTAGAAGTTGCTGGAT